ATTGGGTATAGCAATTTTTTTCAAATGTAGAGCAAAGGGAGATTTTTTATAATCAAATGAATCATCACTAAAATTGTAGTGGCATACACGGGAAGTGCTAAAAACATCTTCTTTATTAACATTTATTGCAAGTATCCATTTATCTCTTAAACTTTTTTCTTTTGGAATACTAAAAAATGTAGAGTATGTGTCACATACAATTTTAGGAATGCATACTCTGAAACCAAAAATATTTTAAAATTTAAATCTAATAAAAGGCGTCAGTCGCTTTCTTTTATCCGAGTATTTATCTTCAAAATTTAGTGATTCTTATTTTTTGATCTCGATTTTTAAATTTTATAATGTAACACTTTATTAACAATATTTTCGACCTACTTCTCGTAACTATAATATTATTATTTTTAGCTTATATGTCATATTGAAAGTTTAACTTGGTTTTAAGACTAATAGGCACAAAATTAATTTTAGTTTTGACTGAAAATAGGATGAACTTTTAAATTTTTTGTATATTATCCTGTATTTTATTTAATATTCTTATAAAACTACTTTTTTAAAACCAAAATTTCTTTAGCAACTATGCTTGTTTACTTCTTATGTATGTACCAAAAAGGGCTAAAAACTACCTTTATTAAATATTCTTATAAATCTATATTTTTAAAACAAGATTTCGTTAGTAAATATGCTACTTTACTTCTTATTTTACGCACCAAAAAAGACTTACTACCTACCTTCGGTAAAACTCAATTAAATGTTCAAAATTTTGTCCTTTGGTTTATTTATAACTATAAGTAAGTACCTACTATAAAATATGTTTTCTAAAATATTCGATACGAAATATTTGGAGAAATACCTTAATGCGGATCTGACTAATTCAACATTGGCACTTTTATTATAGGTATATACAATTTTTCACGATACATCGTGGCATTTTGAACCTAAAACTGAACAGGTAGAACACTTTAAATTGTTAATAACACCAACATACAATTCAAAAAACAGCGGTCAATGTCAATGGTGATTAAACTCAGGGAGGTGAGCGTAGAATAGAAATGACTATTTCGGAGCAATTCGGGTGGCGTCGTAGAAATAATGAATTTCAATTGGTGGGTTACGTGAGGGAGAAACGGACAACATGCGCAGTGTGCAATGTTACATCTCCGGTCTCTTTTATCTAAGGTCTATGTACAGAGTTGCCAAGAGTCAATTATTTTTTATTATTTTTACTTTGACAGCGGGCAAAGTTGATCCCGCTGGGCAAAATAGGACATATTTACGGTAGCAATATCTAATCGCAGGAAATTAGGATCTAAGTAAATAATAAAGATACTTTTATTTTAAAATATAAAAAAGCGTTAAATAAAAAATGTCTTGTCTTTTGATTTTTTATTATTTTATTTTTTTGTCTTGTTTTCTTCATCTTCATCGTTACGAAGGTTCAAATAGGTAGAGCGCTAGTGCACACAGGTTGTCGACTATAATGATCTTAGCTCTAAGATAATCATAGTGTGATGTTTATTATAGGCGAGTTCGGTCAGTCAGGGGCTGGAGCGGGACAAATTTTAAATGACATTTAAGCGTGTTAAACTGTCACTAATCGGACTAAACCTAACGCTAAAAGGGTCGTTTGGAGTTAAAAGTGTTAAAGGAGTTAAAGGAACTTGGCAGACCGAACGCAATGTTTAACGTCTTTTTCTGACATTGACATTTGGATAACCTCAAATAAAATTAACAAAGAAGTCTTCTTCTTCTTCTTCTTCTTCTTCTTTTGTTTTTTTGGGCTATGTTACTGCGAACAATTTACCCAGATGAAGTTGATTTGCTTCTACTAGATACTGACTTTAAATAAATTTAAAAATTTGGAAAGGATGGTTATTCTTCTATCATCCAAATGAGACAAGATGTAGCGAATATTAAATGGGGCTAATAAACCAGTCTTCGTTAGTTCCAAATACAGATCGAAATAGGGAGATTTATTAATGGGGCACTCTAAAATGATGCGATTTAACGATCAACTTCTCCACACTTGCAAAATGGGTAATTTTTAATTCCAATACGAAATAAGTGATAGGGGGACAATGACCAGTTCTCATAGTCTAATCAACAAGTTCAAAAGCGTGTTTTTGGGACATACTATTACGAAAATTATGTTCAATAGCTCATTCGATTCGGAATAATGTCTAGATCAATGTATAAATTTGCAGTGCTAAAAAAATTTCAAAAGTTATAAACAATTAAACACCTCAAAAACATGGTGTTTGGTTTTTCGCCTATAGTTTGTAAACTATAAATATTTTTGGATTTTTCAAAAAAGATCCTTAAAGAGGAGGAAATAAGTTTAAACTCCCGGAACTGTACCTCCATTATTTATCATTTTAATTTAAAGCTCAAAGTAGCCTTCCGCACGCCATTTTTAGGTTGCGCGCACGGCGTCGAAACCGAGTACGTTACATAAAATAATTTTTTTAAGTTAATAAAATTAAATTCAAACATTTAAAAAAATTACGGTGTATTCTAAACACTTAGAAGAATTCACTCCCGTTGGAATTTTTCATAAAAATTAATTTTCCAACAAAGTAGGTTATTGTTAACTAACAAAATTTTTAGAATTTCTCTCATCATTACAAATTGATAAAAATATTAAATAATTACCGTAATTTTTTTTGCTTCGTGGAGCTCTTTTTATATACATATAAAACAAAATAGCTTCATAAAAGTTTAAAAAATGTTAATACTTTGTTTATAATAATTTTTTAAAGTTTACAAAAACAGAAAAGTCACAGTGGTGCTATAAATTTTTTTTTTTTTATTTTAATATTACTGTTTTAATGTCGAAAAAAGACATTTATTAATTAAAAAAAAATTTTTTTCTCCATTTGTTTATAAATTTTTTTTTATAAACAAATGGAGTATTTCATTTTTTTCAAATTTTTTTTTTACAGCTTTGTAGACAATTGCCAATTATGATATTTAAAAAAAATGTTTTACTTAATAGTAACTTTTAATTGTTTATAATCGTTTTTTTAAAATATCTGCTGTTTAAATTATTAGTTAAGAAATGTTTTTTTTTAAATCATAATTGACAGTCTTCTCAAAGTGACAGCAAAAAAAATTTTTTTTAATAATAATTCCATTGTTTTTAAGTTATCAATTTGTTATAAACAAATTTCCAACTTTGGTTTATTTTTTCCTAAAAGAAATAAAAATTCCAATTGTTGACTTAAAAGTTGATATAACTTTTAAAATATTGGAGATACGACAATAAACATTCAAGTCATTTTTGTAGGCAAGATAATTTCAGATAAGTCATTTGTCAATTCCTTACCTATTGTCAATTTGTTGTTTTTTATATTTGTTTATAAAAATTGATTTTTTTTAAATTTTTCGAACTTTTGCGGCTTGTAGCTCAGTAAATAAAGCAAATTCGGTTATTGAACTTTAAGGCAATTCCGTTAAGCTATTAATTTAACATTTGCAATTGTCTAGAAAGTTGTAAAAAAAATTGAAAAAAATTGAAATACTCCATTTGTTTGTAAAAAATTTATAAACAAATGGAGGAAAAAAAATTTTTTTTAATTAATAAATGTCTTTTCTCGACATTAAAACAGTAATATTATAATAAATTTTATAGCACCACTGTGACTTTTCTGTTTTTGTAAACTTTAAAAAATTATTAAAAACAAAGTATTAACATTTTTTAAACTTTTATGAAGCTATTTTGTTTTATATGTATATAAAAAGAGCTCCACGAAGCAAAAAAAATTACGGTAATTATTTAATATTTTTATCAATTTGTAATGATGAGAGAAATTCTAAAAATTTTGTTAATTAACAATAACCTACTTTGTTGGAAAATTGATTTTAATGAAAAATTCCGACGGAAATGAATTCTTCTAAGTGTTTAGAATACACCGTATTTTTTTAAATTTTTGAATTTAATTTTATTAACTTAAAAAAATTATTTTATCGTTATTTAAAGTAGGGAAGTCATTTATATTATGCACGTATATAGTATTAGTTTTTCTTGGAGTCACCTGACTTGTTTCATAATACGAGATGTTTGAAAATGACATTAATTCTTTGATATCTTTTTGTCTGCTGTATTCAGGACATTTTTTGTCATTAGAAGAGTGTTAATCATTTTTACAGTGGATACAAAACTTATTACAAGTTTCTGTACCGATTTTGTGTTTTTTCCACAGATTTTACATTTGGCATTGCTGCGGCATTGCTTAATATTATGACCATATAAGAGGCATTGTTGGAATTAAAGAACATGGCTTATATAAGGAGTTACTTTTACTCCAATGCGATTTTTTCCTTTGCGGTTAATCTTAATTATTTCTTTAAATTTAAGGTTGAACACAGTTTTGGCTAAGCTAAGGATATGAAGGTTACCAATATTCTTGTCTCTTTTCCTTGTACATAGACTTCAAACTTAAATGACAGAAAAGTCAAAACTAAAGTTAAGACTATGTGATGCTTGCAATGTCGCCACATACTATCTGCTATTATCACTTCCTCGTGCTGTTCTGCGTGGAGACCTGAACTCCAGCCACACTATGTTCGAAGATCACGCCTCAAATTCAAAAGACATCCGTCTAGCTAATCTGCTCATCGACTACACCATTTTCAGAGCCTCAAACCAACTTCTGACGTTATGATAATCTATTATCGACCATATCCTTCTGACAGATCCCTGTTCTGGACTGCAACGTCTCTCGTACTCTAAAAGGCTCTAATACACATTACTAAAACACTCTACAATCCGAACATAAGATTACTCTTTGATTCTCAAGATCTCCCACTCACCGCTGAGCCCCAGGATCTGCTATAGTCAGTTTCATTATGTTTTCGTGGTTATATTTCATTTCGTTATCAGATGACGACCTAAATTTGCAATGTACCCTTGGGCTATTTGCATAATTGTCCAAATAATATAAGTTTAACATGTTAGAACAGAAAAATTTTACGTTTACAATGATAATATTTTAAATTTTTAGGTAACTCCTACTTCTCCTTCGACTCAACCTTCTTTTGCTGTACATTACACAGCAAACGGTAAGGATTCCACAGCAAGTACCTTAAGTAGAACTAATGCTGGCCAAGAGACTTTTCTCAGAGTCAACAGACTTGGTTCATATCGTCGGCCGTCGTCCAGAAGATCGAGTAGTTGCGATAGTACTTGCGAACGAGCTTCAAGTCCTAGTCCTAGCGGTTGCGAAGAGGGAAGCGTCAAAAGAGCCATGTCGAAAAGAATGGGAAAAAGAAACGTTAAAATTCAAGTTAGTATTGTTATTTAGCGATGGTTTGCGCCATCCGATTTTTTTGGAACCCTGTATTAATAACATTATATTTTCTATTAAGAGGAGTATTTACTTGGCTGTATAGAGGAGCATGCAAGGGTTTCGTAGTACCCCACTTTTAAAGTTTATTTTTGACTTATTCTGAAAGAAAAAAATATGTACGTGTAGATAAAGGATAAATCTATGCTCCTCTGGAGACACTTTTTTAAAATTTAAAACTGTTTTTTCTAAAAAAAATTACAAAACTCGACTTTTTTTACCCATTTTCTCAATTTTTTTTAGAAAAAACTAAATTGAATTTTAAAAAAGTGGTTCCAGAGAAGCATAGATTTAACCTTTACCTAGACGTATATATTTTTTTCTTTTAAATATAGTCAAAAATAAACTTTAAAAGTGGGGTACTACGAAACCCTTACATTGCAAGATTTATCGTCTAGAAAGTGGCGCCTCTGTTAGATTTTTAAGAAATTAATATTTGTGAATGAAAACAATTTATAATATATTTTACTGATGTTTTACGAGGGATGAATAAATTTTACGTATTTGTATACCTTATTTTTTACGTAATTTATTTCTGTAATACTAAGATTGGTATATATATGCAAGTGTTTCATAGTACACCAATTTTACGGATTTTTTTTTAATTTTACTAAAAGAAATTTTATATAAGTACAGATAAAGGCTTAACCCATACCTCTCTGGAGTCACTTTAAAAATATTTATCAGTCTCTTAAAAAAAAACGAAAAAATAAAATGTTAAAAAATGCTAGAAGAAAACAATATATTTAATTTTTGCCTACAGAAGCATTTATTTTTATTACAATAAAAATAGAAATACGTTAAAAGCTTTTTCGTCTAGAGGGTGACACTAACAAAATATATATCTTTTTCTACTATTTAGTGATAAACAGTACGTAAGTGATTTGAATTCATGTTGTTATTTTTTATATACAGTAATTTTGCTCAATTAATTTTATCATTTATTAATTAAAAAAATATATATCCGAAATTGGAAGGTATACACTGAGATGTGAATTATAAATATGTTTTTGTTTAATGAATACCTCTTCGAGTCAACAATAATTATTAATTCCAGCATGTTAATATCTCTTCAATCCGTTAAAGTAATGTAAATATTTTTTCTTGCTTTCGCGCATGGCTTTGATCTGTCGCACCCTTTGAGGCGCGTTGCAAGAGAAAATTTTCTAACAAGTTAGCCAATAAATAAGAAAAATCGATTGCGCATTGTGGCACAAAAAATCTTCTAAAATCTTTTATTTATTTCTAAAGCCACCCGATATGGCATGGACCATAAATTCAGAGCAAAATAGGATTTGGAAATTTATTTTCAATTAAAAATTTTTAAATGTGGACATTTTATTGAATTCGAATTTGATTATGTTGCTGCCAGTCCGGATGGAATTGAAAAAAACAAAACTCTATGAGTGCTGACTGTAGAAGAAGAAATATGCACTAAAGAAATAACTTTTTGGAAAAAGGACAATACCATTAAGGAGAACCACTATTGGTATTTTCAAATTCAGGGCTAGCTGCACATTACACAAATGGATTTTTGCATTTTGTGATTTTGTGATTTTGTGCTTTTGGACTTCTGGAGGAATAAAAGTGGAGAAAATATCTCATAATGACAGCTTTTGGGAAGAAAAGATAAAAAATAAAATTTAAAATTTTTATATGCAATATGCCTTGCCGGAACTTTTTGACAGCGAAGCTAATAGAGACATGGAAGTACGGGACAGAATACTAAATAATTCGTGAGAAATTTTGTTTGTTTATTAACATAACGCAAGGAATCTTAAATTATTTTGAATATTTTTATTAATTTAATAATTACATTTTATTTATTTCTAAAACATGGTAGTAGGCGATTCATTTAAGATATGATTAATGTCTTCTTATTATTATAATACACTATTTTAAATTTAGGATTTTACAAGTGGCACTGATGATGATATATAATTATTATTATTCCAAATGTTTTAAAAGGCTACACCAACTAGTGGACCACGCTTTTAAGTCCCCAAATAATAGTTTCAAGATTTTGATTCGGATTAGAAGTTTTGTGTCAAAGCCAAGTCATGTATTAATATTATAATACATAGATGAGAGAAATTGAAAATTCACACATGAATCTTTGTAACGACGTTATTTTTTATAACTTTATTAACTTCATAACGGTCAAAAATTTTAGTTAACTTATTTAATTTTAAATATAAATTGATTTTCATTTTAACTTACGGCCATTTGCACTGACTTTTTATTTAAGATTTCTTACTTAAGGTTCCTTAAATATTTAAGGAATCCCTAAAATTATGTAATTTGCACCATTTACATTTTAGGCCGCCTTACCAAAGGAAGTTTAGTTATTGTTCTCATCGGTAAGAGGTCATGTTCTTAATCGAAAACCAGTAAATTGTATCGAAAAAGTTAACCCATACTAAGAAAAATAAAAAAAGACCGGGAAATGACGTCTTTCATCGTGAAAAAAAACTAAAACTATAAATTGTTAACCCTGCCTGTGTAACTTTTACGTTTACCGGTAGTGGTAGTGGATCTCAAAAAATCTCTCTTGAGAAATTTAACTGATTGGAAAAACAAGAATATATAGAATATCGAAATAAATTGAACAAAATATTTAAAAACACAAAAAACTCATATTAGTCAAATAAAATAAAATAATTTGTGATATTTTTAATTTGTTCCAGAACTTGCATTACAGTTTCTTTATACAATCAAAACCTTTTAAAGAAGATTAAATTATTCATTTCGTCGAAATAATTAGTTCTATTATACAACCACCTTGGAAACCCAAAATCAGCCATTTCAATTATTTCCAGTTCATCATTAAATATAAAATTTTCTTCGGGATCCATATTTTTGTCATATATAAAAAATGTCACTGTGAAAGTAGGCAAGGAATGTTTAAGTCTCGAAATTTGACGGTTTTATTAAGAATAGTTTAAGTGTTTCAAAAGGACTCCTTAACTGACGGTGCAATGAAAGTATGTCACTTACATCCTACTTAACTTTAAGTAATCCTTAAATACGTCGGTGCAATAGCCGTTAGAAATTTTCGAAAAGTTCACTATATTGTTTAGTTGTTGCAACTTTACTGCGCTTAAGTAGCGTTCAGATTAAAATATGAATTGATTTATGAAGCTTAACTGAAAAACAGGAACTAATGCTTTCATTCCAAAAAAAGTATTATGGCTAATAAAAAGAATTTCGAATTGTGATATCTGCAAGTCTTCATTTAAAAACCTTTAAATTTAATATGATTATTATACAAGAGTTATCTTTACAAATTGATACAAATATCGAACATAAGTTTGTTGACATAAACATTATTTCCATAATACAAATAAATATATCTTTGTTAAAGAATACTCATAATTTATTTAATATAGGTATTCATTTAACAATGTTTTTGTTTTTTGTCTGGATGAATACTAACTTTTTCTATATAACTTCTTATCGAGACATTGTGAAATAAAAAAAAACAGACAATTAATTAAAAGCGTACTCACAGTTTTTCAGATATAGAAGTTTCAATGCTATACTGTTTCCCAAATTATGAAAATACTAAAGAATATTAAAAAAAATAAAATAAATAAAAACCCAATTAAAGAATGTGTTAATATCTACAAAAGAACATCGTATTTCTTTTTTGGAAACAAAGAGTAGTCGAAAATTGTGAAAATAACATATTTTTATTTCACAAAAATAATAAGTCAGTTTTTGTTTTTTTATGTAAATCATATCATTTTCAAGGCAATAAAACATGAAAAGTCAGCGAATACCGATTTCAAAAAGGTCTATTAGTTTTTATAGGAAATGGAAAGAAAAAGAACGCTTTTTAATCAAGTCAAAATTCTTTACTAATTTCGCTGTTTCTCTGTCCTGTTTAAAATCGATAACTATAAACGGATTAAGGTATTTTGTACCGTGTTAAAAAATGTAAGAAAAATTTTGAAAAATATTTCTTTTTTAAAAAAATTAGTAAACTTTAACAAACATATATAATATTCTAAAAGATAAATCACATTTATGTGATTATACAAAAATTTTATTTATTTTTCTAAAATAATATGGATTATCCTCTAAAATGTATATAGTGGCTCGCAAAAAGTCTGCTTTTTGTGTGTTACTTTTTTCAGAAAATGTTATTCCTGATAAAACTTGGTATTTAATTAAACCTAAAACTTTATTTATTCAAAAAATACATATAAATTTGGCTGCACGGTGAACTAGGTACTCTTCTAGAAACCGAACCCACATTTTTACATACAGGGTAGCTGTTAAAGATGGAACCAAACCTATAGTGCTTAAACGGTTCAACATACAAAACCTAAAATTTCAGAATTTCAACTAAATATATTTGCGCATATTTTAGCCCAAAAATAATTTTTCAAAAAGGAGGAGGTTCTCAATTCGTCTGTATATAATTTTTTTATGTTCAGCGATAATTCTTTAACACAATGTCCGATTTAATTGATTTTTTTTGCTGGATAGGGGGTACTTCCGGGATGGTCCCATATAAATTTGGTCAAAATCTAATAATTGGGTCGATGAGAAAATCTATAAACTTTTCATTTTTTATGTATGTTTAGCGATAATTCTTTACCACCTTGTTCGATTTCTATAATTATTTTCGTTAGTAAGGGGGTACCTCAGGGGTGGTCCCATAAAAATTTGGATAAGATGTGGTGATGGCATCTGCACGATTTTAAAGTCAGTTTTTTAAAATTACTTTTAATACTTGTTACGTAAATTAAAAGTTTAATAATTTGGTGCTTTCTTGATGCGTCGTTTTATGATTTCACTTTGTATATGTTTAAGTACAGATAATTATTATTACTGGCAGTTTATTTTAAATCATTAAAATAATATTTTGTTGAACTGAACATTTTTGAACAAAAATATGGTACGCCACTGCTTTTTCTAAAAACCAAAATTAT